AAGTAGATACATTTAAAAATATTTTATGTCGTTTTTATGGTCACACAGAACCACATGGATTAACAATACATACACTGAAATAACTTATTCATGTATTGCAAAGAACAATGCCCCTGCTTATTACTAGCTCACTTTACTACTTGTCACTAGTTCTTAAGTTAACAAAAGAGTGAGAACATGGATTTACCTTAAAGGAATATTCCCAAACATTTTTACGTTAATAATTAAAAAGGAAATCTCAGGATTTTTAGTTATTAACAAAGAACAGCGTGGTGTCTGTGTTTTGTGGTGTGTGATCAGTTCCATTTGGTCAAATCCTAAAAGGCCATGAGTGACTTGCTGCCTGCTTTGTAGTGTGAGAGCAGCAGAGAAGCTCAGCACTAACTGTTGGCATCTCTTGATTTCTAGAAGGAGACCAAACCTGTGCAGATGATGTTCAAGGAGGCAACTTTTAACATGACCTACATTGGAGATTTGCAGACCAAAATCCTGGAGCTGCCCTATGTGGGAAATGAGCTGAGCATGATCATCCTGCTCCCTGATGCAATCCAGGACGGCTCCACAGGCTTGGAAAGAGTAAGTAGTTGAGCTGAGTGCAAAGAGAGGCTGAATCCTTCCAGGAAAGAAAGTCTCAATTGCACAGAGACCTGCAGATGAGTTCCAGAGCAATTGTGTCCCTGGTGCTGCAGGCCAGCAGAAATGTCCCTCTCCTCCCTGTCCCCAAAGGGACAGCCCCTGCCATGTCAGTGCTGCTCAGGCTGTGTGCTGCTCCCTTAGGCAGAGGCTCTGGAAGCAGAGCTGGCCCTGCTCAGGGGCAGAGGTCAGCTGTGGTTGTGGGGAAGGCACAGTGTGGTGATGGTGGAATGTGGAGAGGGGATTTTGGGTGGGCTCTTTGGAAGTGCTGTGGCTTGTCCTGTAGGTGTTGTGTGCTGAGCAGCTGGCAGGTGGTGTGTGGCTCACTGGCTGGAAAGAGGCTGAGAGGAAAGGGCAGGATCTCTTTTGTGCTGAGGGTAGGATACGACTTTGGGCTCTTTGGAACTGTGGACCAGCAGTTTATGAATAAAGTTCTCTAAGACTGACTGCAAAGGGCCTTTGTGAACTCACTGTTTTCATGATGCTGCTGAATGACCTGTAGGATGAACCTTTGGTAAAGTGATAGAAGAACTGGGTTCAGATTCTTTGTGTTCTTGTTAACCGTTCTGTGCCTTTCTGTCCCATAAGTAAAAATTAAAAAAAAAAATCCAGGGACAATTTAACATGTTCTGTAGAAGCAAACATTACATGGAGTTGATTGATCCCTATTATAGCTATCAGAAAAAACAGTAGGTAATGATCTTGGCAGGGGCAGTATGCTCTAGTGAGAGGTAAAACTTGAAGTTTTGGCTTGAGAAACACTAACCAGGTTAAAAAAGATGAATCTTATGCAATATGTAAACAAATCACATAATCACTTCATTTGCAAGTATAACTCTGATTCAATTCTCACTGTAACTACGTAAATTTGAAATTTTTCTTCAGCTGGAAAGAGAACTTACATATGAGAAGCTAATAGATTGGATCAATCCTGAAATGATGGACTCTACAAAAGTGAGGGTGTCTTTACCCCGATTTAAACTAGAAGAAAATTATGATCTGAAACCGCTTCTGAGCAGCATGGGAATGTCTGATGCATTTGATGTGGGGAAGGCAGACTTCTCAGGAATCTCACCTGGTAATGAGCTGGTACTCTCTGAAGTGGTTCACAAGTCCTTTGTGGAAGTCAATGAAGAAGGCACTGAAGCAGCTGCTGCCACAGCAGCAGTGATGATGATGCGCTGTGCAATGATAGTTCCGGAATTCACTGCTGATCATCCCTTCCTCTTCTTCATCCGGCACAACAAAACTTCCAGCATTTTGTTCTGTGGCAGATTTTGCTGTCCCTAAGGAGGAGATGTCTTGGCAGCATAGGTGCCTTCAGACAAATAAATTTATGTATCCCTAGAACAAGGTGGCTCATTCTACATTAATTGTTTCTTTCAGCTGTGCCTGCACACTCTTGCATGATCTTTGTCTCAGGCTTGGCAGGAATAACAGATCTGCTTAGGCAAACAGAGCATGTGCCATATCCAGCCCCTCCTGTCCCTGTGTGCTGAGGTCTCCAGNACCTGCAGGTGAGTTCCAGAGCAATTGTGTCCCTGGTGCTGCAGGCCAGCAGAAATGTCCCTCTCCTCCCTGTCCCCAAAGGGACAGCCCCTGCCATGTCAGTGCTGCTCAGGCTGTGTGCTGCTCCCTTAGGCAGAGGCTCTGGAAGCAGAGCTGGCCCTGCTCAGGGGCAGAGGTCAGCTGTGGTTGTGGGGGAGGCACAGTGTGGTGATGGTGGAATGTGGAGAGGGGATTTTGGGTGGGCTCTTTGGAAGTGCTGTGGCTTGTCCTGTAGGTGTTGTGTGCTGAGCAGCTGGCAGGTGGTGTGTGGCTCACTGGCTGGAAAGAGGCTGAGAGGAAAGGGCAGGATCTCTTTTGTGCTGAGGGTAGGATACGAGTTTGGGCTCTTTGGAACTGTGGACCAGCAGTTTATTTCCAAGGCTTCTTGAGTCATTTATTCCCCAATTGAAAACGAAAAGAAAACCCCCAGAGTCTTCATGCATAACAAAGGGAAAAACCCCATGCATGTTTTGGCTATGTGAATAAACACACAGAAATCACTACTTTGGCTATGTAATATGGTCTCAATTCTCATTGAAATTAAGTAAATTTGGAATTTCTTTTCAGCTCGAAAGAGAACTTACACATGAGAAGCTGATGGGTTGGATCAGTCCAGAAATGATGAATTCTACAGAGGTGATGGTGTATTTACCCAGATTTAAACTGGAAGAAGATTATGATCTGAAACCTATTTTAAGAAGCATGGGAATGCCTGATGCATTTGAATCAGGGAAGGCAGACTTTTCAGGAATCTCACCTGGTAATGAGCTGGTGCTCTCTGAAGTGGTTCACAAAGCCTTTGTGGAAGTCAATGAAGAAGGCACTGAAGCAGCTGCTGCCACTGGGCTGGTCATGAATTGCTGTGCAATGAGAGTTCCAGAATTCATTGCTGATCATCCCTTCCTCTTCTTCATCCGGCACAACAAATCTTCCAGCATTTTGTTCTGTGGCAGATTTTGCGGTCCCTAAGGTGGAGATGTCTTGGCAGCATAGGTGCCCTCACAGAATAAATTTATATTTCCCTGGAACAGAGTGACTCCTTTTTGTACTAATTGTATCTTTCAGCTGTGCCTGAAATTTCATGCTATTTATCTTAGTTTTGGCAGGAATGAGTGAGCTGCTTAGACAAACAGAGCACGTGCCATGTCCAACCCCTCCTGTCCCTGTGTGCTGAGGTCTCCAGGTTCTTGCTGACACATGAACCATCCCACTTGCTCTGTGAGTGCTTCTTATGTGCTTGAGATCACTTTTGATACCCAGGAGGGAGAGAGTCTGGTAGTGAGAGCTAATGGGAGTGAAGTTACTTTTGCTTGTGAGAAGGTTGGAGCACATTTGTAGCTTCCCTCCCCTTTTATCTTCTAGACTCATCAATTTAGTGCCTTGATGCATTGCCTGGAGGTGAAAGGAGTTTTTGGCAGCCTGTTCCAGGTTTTAGCTGAGTTTCTTGTGTAGATGTGTGGTTTTAGCTAACAACTGGACCAGCACTTAGTTAAGAACAATTTTGCAGCAGATGTCCTTAGAGGGTGTTTATGGTGAGAACCATCACCACAGGAGATTTTTTTTATCGTTCACCTGGTTCTAGTCCTTTAACAAGAATGTACTCTAACTGTGGAATACCAAAGACAAAGCTGAAACAGCATTTGTGACACGGGGATGATTTTTTGCACGTTCTTTTTTTGAAATACTGAAAGAACTCTTAAGTGCTGCAGAGGTCTGTTTCTTTTTGCTGGTATTAACAGTACATTTTTAACCAGTTTTCTGAAAATAATTTCTTGTAATAGTCGCTTCTATGTAGCTTGTTTGGAATTCTTTCCTAAAACACAAGATTTTTATGGATAATGAAACGCGAGGTGCTTACTTGGCTTGCCGTGAATTATTGGTTGGCCTTGAAAGGATTTCAAGGTATTTTAAAGGATACCAAGGGGTTCCCTAGATAACACTTTTATTTTTTCTGGCCAGCACTGCAATGCTTCCTCTTAGTTTTTTGCACAGGTTGATGTCAAGGCTTGGTGGACATTATCCAAAAGGTGCTAGATGGGCCTATTCTTTATTCAGTGCACAGCAACCCAGCTGTCTCAGGTGAAGCAAACAAAAGCATTATGTGCAGGGGAGAGGGATGAGACCCAACACTTTTGTCACCGGGACACATGCCATACACTGCAGTTGAAGGGCTGTGCACCTGAAGCCAATATGGGCAGTATAGTTGGGGATGTCCCAAATACTGATGGAGAACAAAGATCGTGATAAACCACAGAAAACTCCCCAATGTAGTTACTTTCTTTGAAATTGAGAAAAAAAAAAAAGAAAAAAGTGAAGTAACTTTATAAAAGATGAGTGTAAAGAGAGACACAGGATGGTAAGGCAGAGAGGAGCCTCCTGGGCAGCAGGGGTGCGCTTTCCCCATGGCTCTAAAACATCTGGATCTCTTACCGCTGGGGCAGGGTGGGGTTGTTGGTTAATCCCTCTCCCGAAGCTCCCTCTTCTCTCCGCCGGAGGATCGGGGACACACGGCCGGGAGCGGC